GCTATATTTAATTATAATTTTCTTTAAAAGTATATTCATACAAATGAAGAAAACTTTGTACCAGGTATGTACCGGTACATCCACCACACATTTTATTTCACCGAGTAAGTTTTTATTATTTTATTTTTAATTGTAACCCTTATATCGTGGCTAGCGATTCGGAATGTAATTGTGATTTTAAAAATGCATTTAGAGAAGTCTACGGTTTTTACTGGCTTATCGAATAAACGATACGAATGCAACCTAGACCAAGGGTGGGCAACCTTTTTTATAATATGGGCCAGAATAAATTTTACGTTTTTTCCGCTTGCCATAGTAGTTAATTGACACCTTGTGACCTGTAAATTTTTAGTTCTGCAAATATGAAATAAATAAATAAATAAAAAGAAATTAATTACTACACAAACACAAAAAATTCTGTTCTCTCATTTTTTGTTTGAATAAGGAAATGACTCCCTTATTTTTTCCTGTAATTGCTGCCACAACACTTCAGAAAATAATATTCAATTTAAACTAGACCGAATTACATCGAAAAATATTTATTTATAATTTCTTCTAAACATCTCGCGGGCCGGATAGAAACTTTTCGCGGGCCGTAGCTGGTCCGCGGGGCGGGGGTTGCCCACCGTTGACCTAGACCATCACTGACGCGCAATTGACTGATTGCCCCTGGATGTCGGCTTCTTATAGAAACACAGCTTCCCTATCATCAAATGTCACGGCACGCCACTACTAAACGCACATTGAATTGTTGACCCTTTTTTTTATGCGTCAGAATTTTTCGTTGAGCTATTCGGTCTTGAGTAGTTAGTATTGAAAGATTAATCGCGGGCCGCGTAAATTTATTAGACGGGCCGGATCCGGCCCGCGAGCGTATGTTGGCCATGCCAGGCCTAAAACCACAAATAAAAAATATATATTTTGTGTCTAAAAACCCTAACTCCGTTAACTTGTGTCTTATATACAGGGAGCCGTAATTAAACTGACACTATTTAAAAGTCTTTTGTACCTCGATCTATTAACCGTAATAGTACCAAAATTGGTGGAAAATCTAATGAAAGATTCCACGAAAAAGATTGTAGTTCCAGAAGTTGCTAATAGGAAAGAATGTGGGCGGCACTGTGCAATGTAAAAAAGCGTTACAATGGACAGCTAAATGAAAGTGACGTAAAACTATCTTTTATTCAGCACATTCACTTCCCCTGTGTGGAATTGGACCAACTTCAATGCGGCCACCGTTCTTGTGGGCCTGAAATTGCATCCTATACATAACATTGTCTATAATAGAACGTATTCATCAAAGCCCGTGAAACGTTGTACATTTTAAGGAAGTCAAGTTTGAGACCCCGCCAAGAAAGAAGTTGGACTTTAAGTAACTCTACAGCCAAAAGTCGCACAGAGTCAGATTCGAGGAGAAGACGGTCATGCAATCGGAAAAAAAACGACTGATGACTTCATCTGTGAAATGATGTCGTAGAAGATGCTGTACCAATCGAACAATGTGTGGTGATGCTCCATCTTGCTTAAAAATGATCTTGTCCAGACATGTCTTTGCTGAAGTTGTGGAATGACGAAACTTTCGTCATTCATACATAATAGCTGTCCAGCTTAGCGCGATTTTTCTGTATGGTAATGGAACAGGTTACTAGTTCCATCGGTCTACTGTCCTAAAAAAAGGACCTATGAGAAAATCAACTGTGAAGCCACAACCCACAAACAGTAATTTTTGGCAAATGTAATAGCATTTCCTGAAACGAATGGTGGTTCGAATGCCCAGATTCAACAGTTTTGAATGTTGACAGTCCTATCCTGATAAAAATGAGTCCCTACAGAGAATTCTCCCATGCAGGACATCGTCGACTTCCATTCTGGCAAGAAACGTGAGAGCGAATATCCATCGTCTACTATGACCGTTGTGTTGGAATTGCTGTACAGCTGATCTTGTATGAATAGAAGTTGAGAACTTTCAGCAAGATTTTCCATACCGTGGCTTAATTCATATCTACTTGTATTTGTCGTGCTGTTTGTTTGTTAAGTTATGGCAACGCAATACTTGGGCGATCTTCCTAGGAGGAATGCCTTCCGGGAGGTCTTTTTAAGGGAAACTGGTCCCTATTTAGGCGTTACAGACGTGGAAAAAAACTCGAAAAACTTTACGTGGCCAGCCCGTCCGAGCGAGGCGCGAACCCACGACCGAACTCCCAGTGTTCAGGGTACGGAGACCGCTTGCCACTGGTGGGCTATTTGCTACGTCCTGTCGTGCTACGGACGCTGCTATTGCCACTAAGGGTGCCTTGTGCCGGCGACGATAACAGTTGCAACGTCTGTAATTGTCTATTCTGACACGTTTCAATCGTCGGTCAGGCTGCACTGATGGTGACCCTGTATCTTCAAACTTCTTAATCATCAATTTCAATGCGTTAACTGACAGTGAGCCTTTACACAACTTCTGACGGGTTCTAAATTCACGAAGAGTAGCTGCGACTGGTGAAGGTGAAATTCCTTCACAAGTCACGCACGCTGAGGTGACGAAAGACACATGTTAAGCAGAACTATCATTCTGATGTTTTTCCAGCCCTTATAGCCAGAAATACCGACGCTAAGCACCCTACGTTGTCATGACCGCAGTAATTATAGGTTGTTACCAGCGGTTTGTGCAACATTCAGATCCCTAGGCTGCAGCAGCGTCACATTTTCTGTATCGGAGTCTTTTGGAACTACTGTACAGTTTTTTACGCGGAATCTTTCTTTACTTGTCTTCTTTACTGGCATCACCAAATTTAGTACCATTTCGGTTGTTAGATCGGATAACTCAAAGCTTTAATTATTGTCAATTTAATTACGGCTACCCTGTACTTTAAGCAGTCTAGTCTGAAACGGGTTGCGGCCGGATGGCCGAGCGGTCACGGTGGCAGACCACAGCTCTGGGGGACCCGGTTTCAAGTCCGAACGGGTCGAATAACCGCGCATTGAAGGTGGCAGCCTACCGCTCTGGAGGACCCGGGATTGAATCCGGGCGCGATATGTCTAAGGCCCCGTCCCTCACCACCTTATTAAAAAGAGGTTCTCATAGTGCCCACAGGACGGAAGGAATTTTTAAAAAAGGCCGGAAGGGCTATTACAATTTAAAAAATATATATATATTTTTTTACTCTTTCCACTCTGTGGGCACTAAGAGGGCCTCTTAAAGCAGGCCCATTATGTGTTCGGCCAGGCCCACATGGGGCGATCGGGTGGTGAGGGCTGGGGCCCGACGTATCCGAACAATCACAGCCCGAAAAATTCCTGGGGATTCTTTGACCTGTCCGGATTCGATCCCAGGTCCACCAGAGCGGTAGGATGCAACCTTGACCCTCGGCTATCCGGCCTATATATATATATATAAATTTCTACTTAATTCAATTTATTTATTGTAAATTATTATAATTGAAATAAACATATACATTTATATAGTATTATTGTGTTTAATAACTTTTTTATATTTTTACTATTTAAAATGTATGTTTCTTTTTTAAATATAGATTTTCACTAGAGGCTGCTCTATCCGTACCATGTGTTACTTTGTTGTTTCTTTGAAATTGTAAGATGTTTTCTTATTCTAATTATTATTTTTTAAAAAGAAACATCGAGTTTTACTAATACGTTTACATTTTTTTTTTCACTTATCAGCTTAAATAAACGTTTATTTTGTCAATTTGATTAATCTTGTGATTTATTACAAGTAGCGTTATGATTAACGTGAAACTACGAGAAAAATTATTATTATTAAAATTTTACAGAAACCAAATTTACTCTTTTCTTTCGATGTATTTTCAATTCCAGTTTTAAATAAAACAGAACTACAACAGAATAAAACAGTGTTTGTTTTTACTTGATTGCTTGCTGTTTTCTCAATTAATTGTATGTTCTTTGGAACTTGGCATAAAGTTGTTATTGAGAACAAATACAGGAACACGCCTTTTGATGGAAAGAGTAGATTTTTATATTCTATAATTCACAATGGATATGCATTTCAAGCTTTATGTCCATTTCAGTCCTCATTTCAGTCCCTAAAACAAGTAAACAACTGTGGGGTAAAACTGTAAAAATTTTTATTTTTACAGTTTTACTTGTTTTACCCCACAGTTTTAATAATTAGTTATTCCAGTTGTCACTATAATTATTTTTAGTTTTACCGATATATATAATAAGGACTGAAGAGGGTGTAAAGCTTGAAATGCATATCCATTGTGAATTATTGAAAATAAAAACTTACTCTTACCATCAAAAGAAGTGTTCCTGTATGATTTGTTCTCAATAGCAACTTTATTCTAAGTTCTAAAGAACATACAGAGTTTGTTTTATTACTGATTGTCAAAATTCTAGTTTTAAAGAACTGTGATTGTTTATCTGTAATAATAACATTTAAATTAACATAAATTTTAAATAATGATTCTTTTGCAAAAAATTGAAATTCTAGGAAAACCTTTATGTCAAAAACTTCGGAATTATTAATTTACATTAAAGCATCACCAAATAAATGCAATGTATTTTTTAATTCGGAAGAATTATATTAATTATGATTCCAATAGAGAAAAATATCCATAGAGATCTTGAATTTTAAAACAATATTTTATGACTAATCTTAAAATATTGCAACTTTTTATAGCTTTTAATCTTCTAAATAGCTATTTTTAATTTGCTATAATTTTTTAGGACTTATCAGACCACAGTTTTCAATTGAAAAAGTCACTGAGATTTTGTTAAACCAATATGTACATTTGGACTGATTATTACACTTCCTCAGTTGTTTATATTTCAAGTATTCTTGTCTTTTCCAATTTGTATTTTTTATAGCTTGTATTCAATTAGCTGCTATAACTATAAAGGATATGTTGCACTGCCAGTGGCTAGCTTGGTGAGCAGTGGGTGACTGTGTTCATTAATGCAGAATTCTGACTTAAGTCAGGCTGTGCCATAATATTGGACAACATTTTTAGTAATTCTTATTCCATCCACTGTAAGAATTCTTACTCATTTACTCAGACTACTTTTAGTAGACTTACTGTGCTTAATGATGTCACTCCAGCTCTCTTCATTTTTGCTTTGAAGAATTTTACGCTTACAACTGTAATGGCTGTGTAAATAACTTCATTTTTAAAGATAAAGAAATTACTATTTTAATTTTAATTTATTATATTTATTTTTATTTAATTTTAACTTTGTTTGCCAGTTTTTATAATTGTCTGGCAAAGAATAATCATTCAATAATGCTCAGAATATTCTTGGCTCCACCCAGTAAGCTGCTCAAGATTCTGACTTTGTGCTCTGCATTACTGAACACGGCTCTGTGACATGCTCAGTGATAGATACATGTGATAGATACTCTTATGTGCAGAGAACTCCATTTCAAAACATGTGATAGATACTCTTGTATCTATCACATGTTTTGAAATGGAGTTCTCTACCCATCTACCCTTTAGTTAAGTCAATCTGGCAACTAGCCTGATTAATATCTACCTTAACAGTTTTGTTAATTCATCTACCCATCATAGAGCAAATCTTAGTATAAGTGCTGAAATCAGTCATTCTTGTATTCATAATCTAGGTCAAAATTTCATGTTAACTAAGTCTGATAAAGTATTTTGTTTTTAAACTTATACTAGGATAAAATAAAATTAATTTGCATTATTATAAATTTTTTTTTGCTGTTCATATATAAATATTGTGATAATCTATGTTCATATACAAATATAGAATATATAATGAATATATTTAAAATATACATATTTATAGCTTAAAAACATTATGACTAAACAAATGTATAGAACATCTGTACAAATGTTATTATGTTTACATCAGGGCTGTGGAGTCGGAGTCAGAGTTGTGGAGTTTTGGTATTTTAGCCGGAGTTGGAGTCGTCAAAAAATCCGTCAACTCCAACTCCCTTTTACTTACCAACTTGTTATGTATATGAAACAGAGTCGGAGTTGGAGTCGGTAGATTTTTACATGACTCCACAGCCCTGGTTTACATACAATACGGTAAAACTTAATAATACATTTAGGAACATACAGACTATATAATTATTATCCTCTCTTTTGCTGATATAGAATTTCTAAAATTTGTAGTTGTCCTTTCAAGACAGACATTCCTGGAGGGTGCTTATGGTACTGCAGCATCACAATATCAAAGCAAGTAGTTTTATTACATTAAGATAAAAATACTGTAAATGTAATAACAAAAATCACATGACTTCAATGGCAGAAAGTAATCTTATACAGATGAAAAAAGCAGAAAAATTTAAACCAATATTTCCTGTAAACATACTGACAAGTTTTACAGTAGAGCACAGACTAAAGATAATTGCATATGAATTTAAAATAGCCTAATTGTAATTTTGAAAATTTCTAGTGAAAATAACAAATGTAATTTTAAGCCTTTTCTATTTCTTCTTTTGGAATGAAAATTCAGTATAAACTGTATTGTAATTTGTATAATTTATAATCAACGTATCAATTCAAAATTATCAAGTATCCATTTTCCATCTTCTATTCAACAGTTTTAAAGAGATAATAAAAGAAGAGTGATGTAAAAACTAGGTAAGGTAATTTAGTGGCATTTTCTGGAAAACAATGGCATATGTATTGGTACCCACTGAATCTGCCTTGTACAGCACCCATATTCTCAAAATTCTGGATATGCCACCGTTTCAAGACAATTGTCCACTTTCTTTTCTCAAAAGATAATTGAATGATATTTTTCTCATGCAAAGATAGTCTAAACTTGTCTTCACAATGCCATCTTGTAAACAGTTATAAATTCTCTATCAATATTTCTGTCTAAATTATATTTATGAATTCATAATCCCTTTATAACGTTCTCTTATTTATCGATGGAGGATGGATGGTTGATCAGAGAACCCAAGCTCATGATGCATTTAATGATTGGTTTGAACATAATCCCTTTTATTTAAACATCATAAATTCGTTGACTTATTTTCAGTCAAAAGGAATTTCTTTTTTACATATTTTAGAAAACATTTTTAACCACTGTTGTACTATTTCTCTAAAGATAAAAACTCGTAGGTGGCTAGATTTACTAACTCCTGCAGTGTGGTGAAGTGGCATCCACTACACTTTATCCACCAAGCATGCCTCTTAACTCCAGCATTATATTATATTATTATATTAAATATTTTTTTGGTTAATTTTTCATAATTATTTGACCATAATTTTACATTAAGTAACTAAATAATTGTATGAAGAAATGCATATTTTAAAGATTTTTGAAAATAGTGAACTAATGAAATAATACTTGACTACTACAAATAATGTAGTTAAATAATAATAAATGAGAAATGATGTATTTGTTTAAGTATTTAATAAAGCATAATGAATATCTGGTTAAAATATTATTTCATCATTTTGAAATGATAACATAGTGTTGTATGTTATAAAAAAATTTCTTCTCAGAAAGCTAAAACAAAAAAATATTACAAAATATCCTGTTAAGGTATGAAAGTTTTACTTTTTTACAGTGAATATGTTATGATGCATAAAACATTATTTAAAATGTTAAAACCATAGATTAAATGGGAAATAGATGATAAAAAATAATTTTTACAAATGACTTTGCTGTTATCAAAAGTTAAATTGACAAAAAGCACATTTTATTATGCCTTGTAGTTTTTGTTAGCTGAAAATGTACAAAGGTTCTAATTAGGCATATGAAAAGTAATTTAGAGGTATAAAAGCAATATATACAAAAGATCAAGTTGTGTGAAAGTTGAAGCCTGTCTATATATAGAATATAAAAGAATTAAATACAATAATTTAGAATTACCTAATGAAAATATAATTAAATCAATAATAATAATAATAATAATAATTCATTTTAATGCAGATGAGTGACTGTGAAGAGAATAGATTATGTCCAATATGTGGAGTATTTTTATCTGAACCATATATTCAATGTGCTGATTGTAAAAATTGCTTTTTATGTTTGACTTGCTTTTCTAAAGGAAAAGAATTTGGTAATCATCAAAACAACCATTCATATGAAATCAAGGTCAGAAATATTAAATATATAAATAAATTTTATATTTTATAAGTTGTAATTTATCAAGTTAATACTAAATACATTTTAAATTGAGAAATTCATTTTTATAAATATTAATTAAAGTTTATTATTATATATCTCTAAAATATATCTACCTATTCCTATGGTGAGCATATTTTACTATCTTTTTTATTTGTAGAGAAATAATTTCCCTCTTTTAGTATCTGGATGGACAGCTGCTGAAGAAGTTTGTCTCTTGGATGCTTTATTTGAATGTGGTCTTGGAAATTGGTGAGTTTTATAAATAAGCACTAATTAATTGCTTTATGAAAGTAATATAAATTTTCAAAAATTTAATACTGTAAATTTACTTATGTTCTGAAAATTTTGTATATTTAAAAGATATTAAAATTATATTTGTAATCTATTAATATATATGTTATTTAATTGAATGTGTTTTGAGCAATTATCTTGCTCATTTATCATTTAAATGACATTTTGTCCATATTATTTTTTCAAATGCACTATTAATACTTCTTCATAAAACTAAAATACCAATTACAACTCACAGTAAATTATAAAAAATTATGTTTTATTGGATTACATTGACTCATTGTGTATGTGTTTTTTCTGAATATTTTTAATCTCTTCTATTATGTTCAGTGTTTTTTTAGTGTATTATGTCAGTCTGCATAATTGCTGTCTAATGTTATTTATTTGTCTTTCTAGTCTTTCTTGCAGAGCAGACTTGTAATTTGTCTGTGATTATATTTTAAGATCATGGTATGTAACTACAGTAATGCACCAAAATAAGCTAATATAACTGGAAAAAAGTTTTCAAATAGCAACAGCTATGCAAAAATTATTGATTTCAAGAATATTTTTTTGTTAAATGATTCCAGAGTAATAAAAATTCTGGAGTTTATTTCTAATGATAAGAGCTTTTATTATGCAGAATATCACACTGTAAAAATAATTTGGAATATATAAAAAAACAAAATCTTGTCCAAATCCTAATTTGGAAAAACATTTTTGAACATTCCCATCTTGGAAAAATGTTTTCAAATATTGTAGAAAAAAATGTGTTAGCACTCTCTGTAATGATATTTGCACTAGTTTATACAAATTAGTCATCTGAAAGTATTGCATGCATCTATTTACATTGTTGCTGTCTTTACATTACTTTAAAATGTGTCTTGTTAAAGTGCCCATTTTCAGCGAGGATTTTCAAAATCAAATTGTGACTTTGATTGTGAAAACTTTGAGAAAAATGTCTCAACAGCTTGGTTGTGATGTTTTAACAGTAAATTACATATGGAAGAAATATAAAAAATTTAAAAGCATAAAAACATTGAAGAGAACTGACTGACTGAAAGCAACAAGTGAGAATCAAGACTGCCTTAAGATGCATCTGCCTACAAAATCAAAAAGCTGCATCAAAAGAATTAAATGTTAACTGGGAAGTTTACCAGGTCAATGTTTGTAATTGTATGGTTGAAACTGGTTAAATAAAACAGGCTAAAAGGTTTCTGAAGCCAAAACAAAACTATTCATGACATAAAAAAATGAATAGAATGGACAAGGCATTACCAAAAGTGGGCCATTAATGATTGGGAGAAATATTTTTGAGAGAGTTTTTTCTGATGAAAGCAGACTCTGTTGATGTGAAGACAATGTTGGACAATTTTTATGACACAGAGCAGATGAAAAGTTTTGACAAGAATGTCTGTTGCATAAAAAGAAATTCCAGGTTGGTCTTCTGATGTGGAGCTGCTTGTCAACAAAAGGCAAAGGCAAATTGTGTATTCTAAACCAAACTATAAATGGCAGAGTCTACAAAGAAATTTTGGATACTTTTCTGATTCCTGTGATGGAAGTCAATTTGGAGATGAGGAAGTTGTTTTCCAGGATGATAAAGCAAGTTGTCATTGTATGAAAATGTAAAAGAAGTTAAAGAAAGAAAAAGGAAAACATTAAATCTTTATCTCAGCCATCAAAAAGCCTTGATTTAAATGTTATTGAAAATCTGTGGGTTAAACTGGACATGTTAGTGGATGAAAAAGAAAAGAAGTGAAATGCTTTATTTCAGAGTTGGAAGGAAATTAATGATGACTATTGCTCAGAACATGTTAAATCAATGCCATTCTGCATTAAAGCTGTTATTAAGGCCAAAGGAGGCTCAACAAAATATTAAAGAATTTTCACTTCATTTTTTTCTACTATGATCAAAACCTTTTTCCAGACTAGGATTTAAACAAGATTTTTTTTTATATTCCAGATGATTTTTCCAGTGTGATATTTTGCATAATGAAAGCTCTTATCATTAGAAATAAACACCAGAATTTTTATTACTCTGGAATTGTTTGTTAACAAATAAAAAAATTCTTGCAATCAATAATTTTCACATAGTTATTGCTGTTTGAAAACTTTTTTCATGTTGGTCTGAAGTGTTGATTTTGGTAAAGACATACTGTTCCATTTATAATATATTAATTCTAAAAGTATGTTTTGAATACATGTGGAAACATAATTAATTAAATTGGAAGTAAACTATTAAAAATGAATCTTCATTGAACAAGAATTTTTATTAAGTCTGGCTGTGGATCACCTGTCCTATTATTACAGACCACAGGGTTGAGAAATGCTGCCTTAAAATGTTGGTCAGGAGGTTTTCACTGTAATTTTATATAGTATAGTCAAACCTTGGTTTTCAAACAAACATAATTTATTCCTAAAAGTTGTTCTAAATCTGAAACAAATTTTTCCATAAAAAACAATATAAAATGGATTAATCCATTCCTGACCCCAAAATAAACCTTTTTTNTTTTTTTTTTTTTTTGTCTTTTTAGCTTTAAAATGCATACAAATGCAATGTATTATTTTGGTATAATATTACATATATATCCTATTATATTAATAAGTATTAGATATTAATAATATAATTATATAATATATTAATAAATGTTTGTTATTTAATTTGATTTAAGTACCTTTAAATATGAATTCTTGGATACCATTTAAATTATGTGAATGTCAATTAATGCAGTTTTTATTAATTAATTTGATTTAAGTTCAACTGCAGTGCATACTGAAAAACAGAAGTAGTATATTTCCTGCATCTGCATTGAAATCTAATTTAAATAGCAATGTCATCAATGATTTGTGTAATGATGTGAGGCAATCTCAGCACCACAAACTTCTGTACCAGTAGTCCTGTTGCTGATTGGTAGGGCCATTGACTTTCTTTAACCTAGGAAGTATAGGGAGTTGACCATCTGTGTTTCTCTAATCTGTGGCTGGCTCTTGCCAAGTAGCTTGTTCATCAATCAAGTTATTTTATGGCAACTGGAGCAATTAAGAATTCAAGATTTTGTTTGTGATTTGTTTGTAAAGTGAGCCATTTGAAAACCAAGGTTTGACTGTAATTCTAAGTAATTGATAATTAATTCATATAAGGTCACAAATCCTTAAGATGATAAGTTTTTGAATCTATACCATAGATAACATAACAGATTTCCATTTGAATAATTTTCTATCGGGAGACAATTCATTCCAGAATTTTTTTACTGATATTTTGAAGCTTTCAATATTAGTGAATATAAGATTGAAGAGTTATAATAAAAAATATAAGAATCTGTTTAACTTTTAATTTATGGTTTATTCTACTGTAAGATGTAATGCTCATCATTTTTCTATTTAAAGATCTAATTTGTATCACTAAGTTTTGACTCATGTAGATCTAATCTCTATTTTAAAAAGTTATTTGTGTCTAAAATATTTTTGTGAACTTTTAAAATTTAATTTTTTTAAAATAAAAATTGTTATAACAGTGAAGATATCTATTATGATGATATTTAAAATGAATATAGAATTGGAATAATTTATTTAAAATTTTATTTAGTATATTTTGTTTTATATTATTATTATTTAATTTCAGGGCTGAAGTTTCACGTCAAGTGAAAACTAAATCTAAAGAAGAATGTCGGATTCATTACTTTCAACATTATGTGTACAAGCCAAAGCCTCCTTTACCAGGTTAAAAAATATATTGTATCTAAATCTAAAAATATATTTATTAAAATTTGCAAAACTTTATAGTATTGGAAACATTTTATATTTTATTATGATTAACGCAGAAAAGTCACTGAATAGTTATTGTATCAGTATACAGTAGAGCGTCGATTATCCGAATACCAATCAACTGAAACATTGGTTAACCAAAAATGTTCTAGTCAGCAAATTCAAATTTCTGCTAGTGCTGTGGCACTGCAGTACTTTCCCTCCCTGCCAACCTGTCTGTAGGCCTACTTTATATAAGATATGTAAGATGTATGATACAAAATATATACAGTACAGTTTTGTGTTTAATATATTTTCATAAATGATCAGTTATCTGAAAAGTCACTTATCCAAACAATCCTAGTCCTGAATTGTTTTGGATAATCGATGCTCTACTGTATTTACATTTAATTTACTTAAAAGTAGCATACAGGTTTTTAAGAATTTAGTCATCTATTTGAACATTTTTGAAATTCTGTACAGTCTTAAATGTATTAATTATACTTTCTATAATATTTTCAAATTGTATTCATGAGCAAAATCATAAATTGAATTTTTTTTTATTTAGCCTTTTTAGATTTTTATTTTATTTTTTTTTTGTTAAATCATGCCAATNATTGGAATAATTTATTTAAAATTTTATTTAGTATATTTTGTTTATATTTAGTATATTCAGTATATATGTTGAAATTATTATTATTTAATTTCAGGGCTGAAGTTTCACGTCAAGTGAAAACTAAATCTAAAGAAGAATGTCGGATTCATTACTTTCAACATTATGTGTACAAGCCAAAGCCTCCTTTACCAGGTTAAAAAATATATTGTATCTAAATCTAAAAATATATTTATTAAAATTTGCAAAACTTTATAGTATTGGAAACATTTTATATTTTATTATGATTAACGCAGAAAAGTCAGTGAATAGTTATTGTATCAGTATACAGTAGAGCGTTGATTATCCGAATACCAATCAACTGAAACATTGGTTAACCAAAAATGTTCTAGTCAGCAAATTCAAATTTCTGCTAGTGCTGTGGCACTGCAGTACTTTCCCTCCCTGCCAACCTGTCTGTAGGCCTACTTTATATAAGATATGTAAGATGTATGATACAAAATATATACAGTACAGTTTTGTGTTTAATATATTTTCATAAATGATCAGTTATCTGAAAAGTCACTTATCCGAACAATCCTAGTCCTGAATTGTTTTGGATAATCGATGCTCTACTGTATTTACATTTAATTTACTTAAAAGTAGCATACAGGTTTTTAAGAATTTAGTCATCTATTTGAACATTTTTGAAATTCTGTACAGTCTTAAATGTATTAATTATACTTTCTATAATATGTTCAAATTGTATTCATGAGCAAAATCATAAATTGAATTTTTTTTTATTTAGCCTTTTTAGATTTTTATTTTATTTTTTACATATTTTAAATAATGATATTTTTTATAAAGTCATGACAGTCTTATTCTCTGTTACAGTATTTCCAGAAAATAATTGTGATAATACCATTCATGCTACTCCTATTATTTATAAAAGTAAGCTACATTTTAGGTTATTTGCACTAACAATTTTTATTTTAAATACAAATTTAAAATATTTAAAATAATTTTGAAATATTTGTAATTATTTTTTAGCATGCAATGAACCACCTCGACCTGCAGTGGATTCTCCTACTTGTTTAAATATGGCAGGTTATATGGCTGCCAGAGGAGATTTTAATACTGAATATGATAATTTTGCTGAACTTGACATTAAACCTATTGAATTTAATGAAGAAAAAGATCCTGTATTAATAGGTTAATATTTAAAAATATTTATCTTAAAAAATATTCATTTATTAACATCAGATATGATATTTTCTTTAAGAATTTATTATGATATTTATAAACAATGGATATGAATCACTTTATAAACTAAAATACTTAAAAATAATCCTTTAATACAGTTTAAAAAAATAGAAATACATATGTATACATTTTAAAATTCTTTTTACCCTGTGGAGACTCACACCTGTGAGTGTCTACATATTCATCATGAGTTTGTAATTGGACAACTGAATAACAAATGATTCTGATATATTCAAGTCAATCTACCCATAAAATTTTCTAACCCATCTTGGACTCAAAACTAGATATCCATCACAGCAGGCTACTGTCTTTACTGTTTTAGCCATTGATCTATTTATAAATACAGAGAGGATTTAAGAATTCCAAACTCATTAGTTTAAGATAGGAAACTATTATCATAGTGTGGACCAATAGTCTGCAATATGGAAATAGTTGCTTGTAAACATAGTGTTGAAATTATACCATGTATAGTCTTTACTGCAGTCTTATGGATTAATTTTATAACTGTTATTTGCTGCCAAAATTTATAGTTCTTTTGTAAATGTTTTATTTACATATTCATCTCTGTAATAATGATGTGCATTCAAACACTATGTCAGCATACTGATGGTGTCTCATATGACTTAAAAACACTTAAATGATTTTTAAGTGTCTCCCAGAAAGGCATGCCAAGATTATATTTTTGATTCTAACATATAGAAATTTGAAACTAAGCATATTTATAGATCTAAAATCTTCATTTTCTCATATTATTTTGATAATTTAACCTTTTAATTTAAATACCAAAACAATTGAAACTTTAAAATTTCTAATAATAACTCATGCTTTTAGTATAATTTTAAAGAATTTTTAATATTGAATCTAATAGTTCAATCAGATTTGAAATCAAAAGAACCATTCAAAAGTTATATCCAAAAACCTACTTAATAGGTTTTTGGATATAACTTTTAAAAACACTAATAGTAAAATGGTGTCACTGAAAACTTTCTTTAAAATTATAACAAACTGTAGAGAAATATTGGGAGTCATGCTTATCATAACTTTTTATAATGAAATTCAGTTTTTGATAAAATTTCATAATCAAAAACAGCCCTGAAATAATGGTAGATTTATTAATCCTATGTAGCAATTTTAATACACTACACTTGTTTATATTGCTTTTACTCAGTACACTAATACCTCAACTTACACTATCCCGACTTACATGAACCCGGAGTTACGCGATTTTCAAATCTCGTTGATTCATCTTTTGTTTGAGTGCCATGCAACTCTCAATTACTCACTCCCCCCACACTATTGTTCAGCTTACATGTTCGGACGTGTTGCGCGAAATCGACACATAGCTACAATTTATTTTGTGTTATTTATTTCTGTGTTTGTTATATCTACGGAGACTTGAGACACTCTATGTGGTGATTTCTTATAACTATGAACAAATCAAAAGACAAGATAAGATTAACAAGAACATTTATTAGCTTACATACATCCGACTTGGATTTTACACAAATTGCGAAATTATACCACGACTTACGTGGTTATCGCTCGGTCTCACCTATCACGTAAGTTTGGGGTATTGCGGTAGTTTTATTTAATTCTTTAAATCCATTTATTTTCTAATTTTATAATAAATGAAATTAGGGAATGAAAAAAAATGTCTATTGTATTAAAATTGTTTACATAGCATTAAATCTGAATGTTATTTCAGCAGATTTTTAATTCAATAACTAGTATTTTTTAATGTGAATCATTGTTAAATAAAATGAATCTCAGTAGAAAAACTTATATAAACACAGTTTTCAACATTTCTCTACATTATCAATGTCATTATTTCAAAGAAATTTTGTTATTAGTAACTCTTTAATAGAAACTAGTAGATAAGGTTTATTTGGTGCAATTTCTAAATGGTTTGTTTGATTTTAAATCTGATTAAACTATTAGATTCAGCATAAAAATTTCTTTCAAATTATGTGCCTCAAGAAGTGGGTTGCCTTTTGCAATTTTAAAGTTACAACTGTTTCAGCATTTAAAATTCAAAGATTAAATTATCAAAATAGTATGAGAAAATACAGATTTTAGATCTATTAATATACCTAAACTTTTAAATTTCTATATCTATTATTTATTAATATCATTTAGTGGTATTAATTTGTATAATGTAGTTTATAACTTGTGCCAAGGATTTAATTAATGCAGAATGATTCACTATAATGCAGTTATTACCAAGCTAATATGTATAAGAGAATTTCTAAATATAGTTACAAAATTAAATTTTCATAATAAATGATTTAAGTTTAGAAAATTGTAAAAAGTGGATCAATATCATTTTAAATGTTCTATTAACTTGTATTATAAATTTATTTTAATAAAAAGTTCCCTGTTCTTTTTGAAAAGGGCAAGAAAATTCATACTTTTAATAAATGCCTGTTTAGTGATTAAAAACTTTAAAAGTGATTAAAAGCAAAAGCAAAAATAAAAAAATAATAATGATGAGCAAAAATTATTATTATTATTATTATGCTGGGCTGCAATTTTTAATTTATTTAATTTAAAGTAAATGCTCACCACCTCAAATTATCAATAGTAGTATCTTGCCCCTGTACATCATATTTTCCCTGATAACGTCAGTCATGCTAATCATCTATGTAATTCTGTTCTGGGAAAATTTTTGAATTTAAAACATGTGACTTCCTGTCTAGACCAAAACTTTGTATATTAATTGAGCCTTCTACCCCTAAGCTTTCTATATGTGTCTTGATTTTCATCTATCTAATACCATTCTCAAGATTAAGGAAGGACAGACAGACAGCAGGAATTTATGTCTACAATTTTTTCAAATTGCAGCCCAATAATAATGTTACATATTGATGCAAAATGTTGCTAATTTACATTGAGAAAAATTGACAAAACTGGCTAATGGCCCTTGGTCACAACTTTCATTACCAGCCTATTAGTTTTTAGTGCTTCTCAATTTAAATTTTTTCATGCATATTTTTAAATGCTCTGTTTCTAATATACTTTTTAATAATAATCCAAATGAAGAATGAAGCATTAATGTGTAAAGAACAATAGAAAAAGCAATTTGATGCTTCCAAGAGGTTTATACAGAAAAAAAAGGGAATGTGAATCAAAATTATTTTTTAAGTGAAAAAATTCCTTTTCACTTAAAAAATATTTCATTTTAAATACATTTCCCTAATAGTATGGATTCAGATTATTCCCCATATATTCTATTCTGATATTACTGCTGTATTAAAGCATTATTTTTGAGATATTTAATTACATATTGATTAACATTAGAGAATTAGTTAATTGATGATAAAAAAATTTTATATAGAGTTGAATTTAGCTGTTTTGAATATATATCGTTCAAGAATGTGGGAAAGAGCAAGAAGGAAACATATTATAAGAAAATATGGATTAATTAGTCAACGGAAAATTTTAGATTTTTTCCATAGATATGAATCAACTTTTGAAAGAAATGTGTTAGACAGATTAATCCATTTAACACGTCTCTTACCTACAGAAGAATTTAATAAATTTTTAGAAGGTCTTCATGGTATGTATATATTCTTAAATATAAATTTTGAAATTTTTATTTAATTGTTTTTGTTTTAATTTTTTACTTTTATTTGAATATTTCATTTGAAATGCCAATAAAAACTCAAAAAATTAGAGATGAAGATGTTACAACATATATAATCAATTTGTTCCTTTAAGTGTTGTTTCTTCCTGTTATTAATTTAATTTCTTCTTTACTGAAATACATAATACAGGTAGCCCTCGGTTTATGCTGATTCACAATAATGCTGCTGCGCAATTCGCTGTTTCAAGGTGTAATTCCTCGATTTTCCCTATGCTAGACTGATTTTCATTTCAGTGTTGACGTATTTACCGAGCCGCGACATTGTACATTCTTTAAAGCAAAGATTTTTATTAAATATATTTATTTTTTCTGTTTAATATTATTGGATATGTATACATTTGCATTAAATTAATATTAAAATACTAAATGTTTAGGTACCCACGAGTCAAGATATTAAACTTAATAGTCCAATAAATGGCGTCCAAATCCATAGCACCAACGAATGTATCCCGTATCAGTTCATTCAGGAAAACACCTTACGATGCAATAGTACTTCCGGCGATCACAAATTATCATTAGTGAGACAAATCTACTTCTCGTTGGCCAGACTATATTTATCTCTCCTTAGCCACCTTGAATTTTTCCGCTCAAACTGACCTTATATACATGCTACGGCGACCAGTGGTTGACCAATCAGTGTCTTCACTCGTCTGTAGCTATACGTCAGGTTAACGTATCCTTTCAACTAAGGAAAGTTTGATGGATGAAGTTTGTGAGTTAGACAATGTTGGGAGCGAATTGCAAATGTAAAAAGGAGCATCATATTCAACCATATTCCGAAATTCTTAATGAAAGAAATCAAAAATGTAAACAATTAAAGATGGATACTTTTTTCCGAAAAATGTAAGAAATTCGAAACTAAAATTTTAAAATAAAAATATTTTACTTTATTTTATGATAAAATACATTTTAAAAATTAAAAATTTATATGTATTTTGTATTATATTGTATTAATAAACAAAATTATTAGCTTATTTTTCACTTATGTAGAACCTAACCCTATATCTCACTGTAAATACGGGTTCATTTTACGCCGATTCGATTTGCGCCGGCTTTTGTAGGAACAGAATTGCAGCGTAAACCGAGGGCTGCCTGTACAATTAACAGCTTACATACAGATAAACAAAGTCTTAAATGCATTACCAATATATTTTATTAATATATAAGAACATTTCATTTATTTCACCATTATTTTCTCACACATTTTACCTCTTATGTTGAGATATAGTTACATCTTGCCACAATAATATGCTTTCATATTATTATCAGTTTCAAATTAGAAACCTATTTCCTACTGATTTATTGTCATCTGCAATGCAGAAAATCATCTGACTTTGTGTATTCCAATATAATTAATTTTTCATCATTTTAAGATTACTGCTTTTTCAACATTGTGGCAATTTTCAAAAATACTGCATTTGTTCAATGTGCACACTGCAAACATGTTTATTGTTTCACATGTATATTGCTTCTATAACAATTATCATCCACAAAATTGTGCTCCCAAAGAGTAAACAGATTGAATAGCATTAATGAAAATGTCTCTTTTTATTAACAAAATTGATCTTGAATAACAATAATTTTATTTATATCTTATTATCCTCCCAAATAAATTGTAAACTAATATTATGCATGAATCCCATATGTACTGTACATTAATATTTAAAAATAATTTTCAATTAAAAATTGAATTATGACTATTTACAAAAATTATAGAATTTTAGAGTCTATCTTTCATCCTTTTAACACACCACAGAAGTAACAGTATATTGGCTTGAATAAACTTCCGTAGAATACGTGATAAATTATAAAGAAAACACACAAAGTTTAAAATGATCGAAACGCTGACCTTTTATTTCAGGATTCAGCGTCCTTTAACATTAAAACAATGGTTACAATTTCTGACCATAACTACTATGTTCTTTAGCACAATATATAACTGGTTCAGGTCCTCTGGTGGAGATTTTGGGCAATCATAAAGTTCATTTGCATAAATGAACATTATGATTAATGAAGTTCATATCATGTTATCGTGTATGCTGTTATGCAAATAATTTTCAAATAAATGTAATAAATTTAAAAATACTAAGAATAAAGTGAAAATTATAGTTTTGTACAAAAAAAATTGTTGATACAAACAATATTCAAAATACCAAACTCATGATTATGAAACTAGCACACACTACTATGAAGTCACTGGCCACTCTATAAACGGTATAAATTCTAAAGGTTTTAAGTGATTGTGCAATTTTTAATTTTAATTTTTTCTTTTAGTTTTTATTAGTGTGTCTTACTGCTTGGCACATGTCAATCCTTGGGGATGCACTATATCCTCACCAAGTTTGATCAAAATCAGTGACCTTAACATCATGCCATTCCCTTATTAGTAAATTTAATAATATACAAGAACAGCATTTTTTTACATCATTTATTATACAGCTAATATATACAGTAGTTTCAATTATTGTAGTTTCATTTTCATATGAATGATAATGTCTCAATTGAAGTTAAATGATAAAAGGTAACAGAAACAAATCATTCCATAATGCATGTTATTGTTTTAAACTTTATTTTGCAATTTGCAATATAAAAGTAATGCATTCGCTTATAAGTTTATCTCAGTTAATTGAGGTTCTGCTGTAGCTATTTTGATCATTTGTTAGAGATATTAGTACAGAATTTCAAATTGATCAAATTTTACTTTCTAGAAGATTAACAATTTTTTTCCTCTGAGAGCATATAGAATCAAGATAGTTAATTATTTTACTGATTTTTCTTCACTATGTTAATTACATGGGAATCAGTAATTGAACATTTTTTTTTTAAGTATATATAAACAATCTCTTCAAATTACAATCAAGAGTTTTTGCATATGCAGATGATATAAAAATGATTTATTGCAACTTAAATGTACTACAATCTGAACTTTTAAACTGACTAACAACTTGTAAAATCTTATCTATATATATATATATATATATATATAT